AGAATGTTTTTAAAAGTTGGAAGAGTGCCTGAAATGGGTGCAAGGAATAAGACCAGACTGCTGTTTGTTGATAGTCGGAGTGGTGTAGTGGTAAAGAGTGGCGGACTGTAATCTGGAGAATCGGGTTTGGTTCTCCACGCCTCCACGGGAAGCCAGCTGGGTGACCTTGGGTCAGTCACAGTTCTCGCCGAGCCCCACCTGCCTCACAGGCAGTGTTCCCTCTAAGCCGAGTTAGTGTGAGCTAGCTCACAGTTTTTTAGCCTCCAGCTCACAGATTTTTGTCTTAGCTCAGGATGGATGGCTCCAGAGCAAACTAGGTTATGCAGTAGCCAAATGGCTCACTCACAACTTTAATGCCAGTGGCTCACAAAGTAGAATTTTTTAGCTCACAGTTTTTTAGCCTCCAGCTCACAGATTTTTGTCTTAGCTCAGGATGGATGGCTCCAGAGCAAACTAGGTTATGCAGTAGCCAAATGGCTCACTCACAACTTTAATGCCAGTGGCTCACAAAGTAGAATTTTTGCTCACAAGACTCCATGGCTTAGAGTGAACATTGCACCCAGGGTGTCTGTTGTGGGAAGTGGAAGGGGAGGCGATTGCAAGCTGCTTTGAGACTCCTTCGGGTAGAGAACAGCGGGGTATAAAAACCAATTCTTCTTCATCATAAGGGCACCATCTGCCATGCAATTTGCAAAGCCAGGGAGGACTTCTTTAAAACAGCACCTCGAATTCCTTGGTCTTCGAAGATGCCTGATCTTGCTTGGCCCTTAATCGCAGCTTAACCTACTTAGTCTCTTTCGTGAGAGTGATCCCCAGGCAAAATGAGGAACAGAGGGCATTAAGAAATGTCTCAAGATAATGGCTGTGAGTGGGAATCCCACACAGAACCCTCTGCAGCCTGCAGGGGGAACCACAAAGGGTCCTCCAACTATTGCTACTCAGTCCCATAGACAAGAGATTGCAGAGCTTTGTTTACAGAGGCCGCTGGTCTCCTTTCCATGTTGACTTGGTGGTTTAAGTCCTACGGCACGGAAAAAGAGTCAACTTAGAAAGGCGACCACCCCAATCCCAAAAGGGGTTTACGTGACCCAAGGCCCCAGAGTTCTCATCTCCTGGATCTCCAGTTAAGAGACGCTCATACAGCAAAGCTGTGAAAGGCAGCCTCTGCCGAAGAGCTCAGAGAGCTGAATTTGGTCAGAATCAGACCACCCCAATCTCAAAAGGGGTTTACGTGACCCAAGGCCCCAGAGTTCTCATCTCCTGGATCTCCAGTTAAGAGACGCTCATACAGCTCATACAGAGAGCTGAATTTGGTCAGAATCGGTGGTACTCGGCTAGCTGGACCAATGGTCTAACTGAAAGGCCAGGGGCGCTACGCAGAGGCAGACAAACTCTGAACGTCACTTGCCTTGGCCTGGAAGGCCCAGGCTGGCCTGATCTCATCAGATCTCGGAAGCTAAGCAGGGTCGGCCCTGGTTAGTACTTGGATGGGAGCCCACCAAGGAAGGCCAGGGTCGCTACGCAGAGGCAGACAACCTCTGAACGTCACTTGCCTTGGCCTGGAAGGCCCAGGCTGGCCTGATCTCATCAGATCTCGGAAGCTAAACAGGGTCGGCCCTGGTTAGTACTTGGATGGGAGCCCACCAACGAAGGCCAGGGTCGCTACGCAGAGGCAGACAAGGGCAGACCACCTCTGAACGTCACTTGCCTTGACCTGGAAGGCCCAGGCTGGCCTGATCTCACCAGATCTCGGAAGCTAAGCAGGGTCGGCCCTGGTTAGTACTTGGATGGGAGCCCACCAAGGAAGGCCTGGGTCGCTACGCAGAGGCAGACAATCTCTGAACGTCACTTGCCTTGGCCTGGAAGGCCCAGGCTGGCCTGATCTCATCAGATCTCGGAAGCTAAGCAGAGTCGGCCCTGGTTAGCATTTGGATGGGAGACCGCCGAGGAGGTCCGTGGTTGCTGTGCAGAGGCAGGCCCTGGCAAATGACCTCTGAACGTCTCTTGCCTGGGACACCCTACCGAGTCTCCACAAGTCGGCTGCAGCCACCCAGCGTCTCCCCAAACAAGAACCGCCCTGCCCGACAGAAAGTCAATTCAAACGGGCTTACAGCCGGCCAGTTGCCTCATTTAGACTTTAAAACGAACGGCCACCCGGCGCACATACTTAGCCGACAGGAGCTCATGTTCTGGATTCCAGACTGCCGGCATGGGCAGAAGCCCTCGTTTGGCGGATAGACGGTTCCATTCGCAAACAGAGTCTTGGGAGCCTCATAACGGTACACCGGTACTCTTTGGAATTCTCCCATCTCCTTGAACTGCAGTCTCATGGATCTGAAAGAAGAGATGTCAATAGGAAAGCCACTCCCTTTAATGCAAGAGATACCTGAAGGATAAAACAGTAGTGAACAGGCACGAGTCCCACTGGACATCCCCTCCACTCCCGAGTCTTTAACACACCACACTGCCTGCTCACCATTCCCACTGGCCACTTTATTCTGACCTGACAGAGAAACTGAGGCAGAGAGAACCTCTAAGCTGTGGAGTCTCGTGAGCAAAGATTCTGCTCTGTGAGCTACGGGCACTAAAGTTGTGAGCGAGCGATGTGGCTGCTGCATAAATCAGTTTGCTCAGGAGGCACCCTTCCTGAGCGAAGACAAAAATGTGTGAGCCGGAGGCTAAGAAGACTGTGAGCTAGCTCACACTAACTCGGCTTAGAGGGAACACTGGAGCGAGCACAGCTGGGCATTTTGATCTACTTGAGCTTATGCTGCTGTTGGCTTTATAGCTGATTTTGACACTCGATAATAACGACCACAACTGCCCCCACCCCCCAAAAAAGGAGGGGAAAGGAGCAAGCAGAAGCAGTAAGGAATCATAGAGTCATAGAATCTTAGAATTGGAAGGGACCTCCAGGGTCATCTAGTCCAACGCCACGCACAATGCGGGAAATTCACAAATACCTCCCCCAGACCCCCAGTGACCTCTGCTCTATGGCCAGAAGAGGGCAAAAAACCCCACAAAACCCCAGGATCCCTGGCCAAACTGGCCTGGAGGAAAATTGCTTCCTGAGCCCAAAGTGGCAATCAGCATTTCCCTGGGTGTGTAAGAAAAGGCCACGAGAACTAAGCACCGAGGCGACCCTTCCTGCCCCTCCCAAGTTCACAGAATCAGCACTGCTGACAGATGGCCATCTTGCCTCTATCTATGTATTGGCTTACGCCCCCTTTGTGAGCCGCCCTGAGCCCGCTTGCGGGGAGGGAGGGCTATAAATTAATAAATAATAAACAAACACCTCCAAAGGAGGAGAGCCCACCACCTCCCAAGGAAGCCTGTTCCACTGAGGAACCCCTCTGTCAGGAAGTTCTTCCTAATGTTTAGCCAAAAACTCCTCTGATTAAATTTCAACCCATTGGTTCTGACCCAACCTTCTGGGGCAACAAAAAACAACTCCGCACCGTCCTCTAGATGACAGCAAGTGCTTGAAGATGGTTATCATATCACCTACTGCAGCAGCAATAAAGACAGCAAAAAGCTTTTGCTTATTTTGAGTATTTGATACTGCTTTAGAGCTTTTCCAATTCATTTGTAATACCCATATCTCAATTCAGCTTTATGGTGTAAGTGTAAAAGGAGAGAAAAGTATGTTCCACACTGACATTTAAACAGGAATGGCGTCTCTCTTGTCGGGCCCTGATGTCTTGATTACAATGGAATAGCCCTAGACCTGGAATTATTAGTTACTTGTCTTTTATTAGAGCTCTGATCTAAATCAACTAAAAAAGACACCATGTGCATCAGAAAAAAAATGGATCAAGTGAGTTATAGTTTGGTAGCAGATGGTAGTTCAGCGACATTAATTACCACCGCAAAGTGACAACTAAACAACTTTCTCCTAAAGCGAATACAGATTCATTAGTTAGACAGCTACTTAGAAGTCTTTAAGCTACGGGAAGATGGACACTAATAGGCTGGAAGATCCCCCTATGGGAACGGAACAACAAGAGCGTCAACACCAAAAGCATGGCGCTCATGAGCTTATGCAAGTACTTGGGAATCTCTAGAAAGGAAGAAAAGTCAGACAGCAGAAATGTTGGCTAGCACTGCTGAAATGCATTACTTGGCATCTTGATAGCAAAAAGGCTGTTGGTCTTGAAGATCAGGAACTTCCTTATTAAGCAGTCTTAAGGGACTGAGCGGGCATAGCTAAGCACTCCATGGGGAGACGCAGCAACTATAGCAGCAGCTAAGCTGAATTTTCTTGGCCGGTCTCAGCTGAAGACAGAACTTGATGCATAAAAATCCTGGCGGCCCTGAATTTTTTCTTTAAAGGGCCTGGATATCTTTCTGTTCTGATGGATCCTCCGGAAACAGGCCTTCAGTGTGGTTATTTATTTATTTATTGCCTTCCTCTGGGGCATGGGGCAGGCGTCACTGGGGGACCATTAAAATTTTGAGGATTGGAATGACTGCAGTTAAATTGTGTTTTACTGGAACAAAGTGCGAGTCCAGTGGCACCTTCAACAAAGTTTTATCCTGGGTATAAGCTTTGTGTCCATGCACACTTCCTCAGATACGCTGAAACAAAAGTCACCAGCCATTACATATAGGCAGAGGGTGGGGAGGGTGTTGCCAGGACGGGCTAATTAGAGTCAAGATGCATATAGCTAAGACGGGATTAAGGCAATTGGTAACACCTATAAATAGCAACAAATTAGCTGCTGATAAAAGAGTCGCCCATGGTACTGGTTGTACCAGTCGCCCTTAGAGGAGCAAAGTGTACACAGAAGTCTCTTTTGTAACTTCACAGAGCGAGAGATATAGTACCAATGAATATTAGATAAACAGTTTTTCAAGGAGGGTTTTGCCTGCGCTTCCTGATTAGAGTTTGCCAGAAGCTTGACTTGCAATGTTCCCTCTGTGGAGCCTTGTGAGGAAAAAATTCTGCTTTGTGAGCTACCGACATTACAGTTGTGAGCGAGCGATTTGCTCCTGCATAAATTAGGTTGCTCTGGAGCCATCCTTCCTGAGCTTAGATAAAAATGTGAGAGTCGGAGGCTAAAAAACTGGGAGCTAGCTCACACTAACTCAGCTTAGAAGGAACACTGAGCTTGAGTTCCTATGAACCCAGTTTGGACAGTCTGATGAGCTTGGCAGCCAGCTTATGGGCAACTGCTAAAAAGTACCAATACCTTCTGAGGGAAATTCTGGGCAAAGCTATATTTCCTTATCCTTTAAAAAGAAAAAAAAAGAATTTACCATATGCAATTTTACGTAAGGGGCTCAAAGATTTAGCAACTGTTCCAGATATTTGTTTAGAATCTGTCATGAAATGGGAATCATTTTTGTTTCAAATTCTGTTCGAAGAAAAAATGTATTAAACAATAATTTACAAATCAAAATGTATATTTACAACAAAGCAAACAGATGACTCCTCTCTTTCAAACCAAAACATAATAAATAAGAAGAGCATACGAGCGTAAGAAGAGCCCTGCTGGATCAGACCAGTGGTCCATCCAGTCCAGCATCCTGACTCACACAGCGACCAACCAGTTCCTCTGGAGGGCCAACAACAGGGCAGAGAGGCCAAGGCCTTCGTAAAAACATGAGAAGAGCCCTGCTGGATCAGGCCAGTGGTCCATCTAGTCCAGCACCCTGTCTCACACAGCGGCCAACCAGTTCCCTGGAGAGTCAGCAACAGGGCGGAGAGGCTGAAGCCTTCCTAAGAACATCAGAAAAGCCCTGCTGGATCAGACCTATAGTCCATCTAGTCCAGCATCCTGTCTCACACAGTGGCCAACTAGTCCCTCTGGAGGGCCAACAACAGGGCAGAGAGGCCAAGGCCTTCGTAAGAACATCAGAAGAGCCCTGCTGGATCAGACCAGTGGTCCATCTAGTCCAGCCTCCTGTCTCCCACAGCGGCCAACCAGGTCCTCTGGAGAGCCGACAACAGGGCAGAGAGGCAGAGACTTTCCCCGATGTTGCCTCCACTCAGATTCAGAGGCTGACCGCCTCTGGATGTGGAGGTTCCCCTCAGTCACCATGGCTAGCAGCCACTGATAGACCGCCATAAATCTGTCTAATCCCCTTTTAAAACTGTCTAGGCCTGTAGCCATCAACGCATCCTCTGGCAGCGAATTCTACATTTTAATCACTCTCTGCATAAAGTAATGTTTCCTTTTGTCCGCCCTGAACCTACTGCCCATCAGCTTCATTGGATGCCCTCCAGTCCTAGTATTTTTGGGAGAGGGAGAAAAAGTTCGCTTTGTCAACCCTCTCCACCCCACGTATAATGTTTATACACCTCTATCACGCCCCACCTGGGGGGAGTCACCTCTTTTCCAAAATAAACAGTCCCGGACTCTTCAGCCTTTCCTCCTAGGGAAGCTGCCCCAACCCCCTCCTCATCTCGGTTGCCCTCCCCTGTACTTTTTCCAGCTCTGCAATGTCCTTTTTGAGATACGGTGACCAGTACTGTACACAGTATTCTAAATTAGGCCGCACCATAGATCTATAAAGGGGCATTATAATATTAGCCATTTACTTTCAATCCCTTTTCTTTTTAATTTAATTCATTTATTTAATATACAAACACACAGTAAGCATTTACTGTAGAACATTTACAGAAAGAAGAAGAGAGGTGCAATTAAATGGAAACGTAACTTTCCAATCAGCACCATATTAACGGACAATTCAATAACAATAGCAGTACCAAACCCAAAACTAACACCAAACCAAGGAGTTAGCTCAACTTTCTCAGTATACTTATAACAACTGTGGCTCTGGTTTCTGACCCCCTACTCTATTAGTTAGTGAAACAAATATAATGACATAGCATTTGTCCACGGGTTACATGGGCTATGCAGCATGAACCTGTTTTGTTTAGCTAATAAAATCTTCCACTTGTCCGTTGAGCTAGTAATATTCTTTGCTGAGCTACACTGGGCAGACCAGTCGGAGATCTTATCGTCGATCAGGTAATCCCATAACTTAGTGTACCATTGATCTATAGTGGGAATGGCTTGAGTTTTCCGGTGTTTTGCAATAATACATTTGGCTGCAGTTAGTAGTACCGAAATCAGTTCTCTTACCGATTTTCGGATACAGGTTTCAGGCCACAAATTCAGAAGGATGAGGGCCGTGTCTTTGGGAAGTTTACACGTTTCCTAATAATCCCCAACATAAGAGTTTGCCTTTTTTGCTGCTGCTGCAACACACTGGGCTAACACTTTCATTGAGCTATCTACTTTCCCCCTCTCAGCAAGTTCATACCCTCAGACCTGAAAGTAGGGATTCCCCCCCCCCCGCAATGTACATCACCTTACAGACACACACTTAACCCTCTCTTTGTCTCTTGCACCAGTCCCAAACGCAACACCCCAGTCAGAACCCTTGTTCTAAGCACTGGTTGCAAGCTGAAAGACAGACCAGCATTTAAAGCTGACGTAAGGGCTTATGATATGCAGGGTACAGAACTTAATTGGAATGCCCATTTCCAAATTTCTCTGCTGGAACAAAATCAAATCACTCAGTGTTAAACCTTTGCTAAGTGATGATTCAAGAATCAAAAGCACCAGTCCTTCAAATCCCCTGATTTGGTAGCTTGGAAATAGGACTTTAAACTGGGTACCCCCAAGCTCTAACAGTTGGCAATACAAGAGTCTTTGTTTTGTTTTGTATTTTTCATATATATATATGTGTGTGCGCGCGCATGCACCTGGAAGTCATGGTGACCTCCGGTGACTGACCCCTACTGGGGGCCTGGAGGATATTCAGAGAGGTGGCCGAATGAAGCCTGCCCCCGCCTCCCGACTGCTGGTATTCCAGGGAGGTCTCCCATCCAAGTACTTGCTAGAGTCAACCCTGCTTAGCTCCCGAGATCTGACGAGGCCGGGCTTGCCTGGGCTATCTAGGTCAGGCCTTGGCAATACAAGAGTTTTCTTTGTCACCCTAAGAGGTTTACTTTCCTAAACCCCTTGATTAATTTCCCCCCAAGTTTTAATTATACAAGGTTTTACCTTGAAGGGTTGTTGTTGTTTTTTTGCAAGATGGGGATCGCTTACAGCAGAAAATGAAAGTACGGAGGGATTGCCAGGAGCCCTACATTGTTGTTGTTGTTCAGTCGCACAGTCGAGTCCGACTCCTCGCGACCCTGTAGAACAGATCACGCCAGACCCTCCTGTCTTCCGCCGTCCTCTGAAGTTTTGCTTTCGAACTGCTAGGTTGGCAGGAGCTGGAACTAGAGATGGGAGCTCACTCCGTCATGTGGCACCCGGGTCTTGAACTGCTGAACTACCGACCTTCCACAGCCTGCAGTTCAGCGTCTTAACCACTTGAGCCACCGCAGCTCCATCTGAAGAGATCTACTACTGGACAAAAAAAGGTGGGGTTTTTTGGCAAAATGGGGGTCGCTTACAGCAGAAAATGAAAGTACAGAGGGATTGCCAGGAGCCCTACATTGTTGTTGTTGTTCAGTCACACAGTCGAGTCCGACTCTTCGCGACCCCATGGACCAGATCACGACAGGCCTTCCTGTCTTCCACCGTCCTCTGAAGTTGGCTCAATTTCATATTCGCACCTATGACACTGTCTAACCATCTCATCCTTTGCCGTCCCCGTCTTCTTTGACCTTCAATCTTTCCCACCATCAGGGTCTTCTCCAGTGAGTGCTCCCTTATTAAATGAGCAAGGTGACAATATACATCCTTGGCGTACTCCTTTTCCTATGCTAAACCAATCAGTTGTTCCAGATCCGGTTCTAACTGTCGCTTCTTGACCCTTATACAGGTTTCTCAAGCGACATGTGAGGTGGTCTGGTACTCCCATCTTTTTAAGGACCTGCCATAGTTGGTTGTGATCCACACAGTCAAAGGCTCTAGCATAGTCAATGAAGCAGAAGTCAGTTTAAATAAGCCATGGCTTCTTCTCTTGTCTGGACCAATGCTAAGTGTGCTTAGACTAAGTCTCAGATGAGGACTAAGGATGAAGATGGGAAGCCTGTGCAGTGTAATGGTGAAATTGAGCAAACTCTGGAGGAAGGCAGAAGACAGGAGGGCTTGGTGTGATGTGGTCCATGGGGTCGCGAAGAGTCGAACTCGACTGTGCGACTGAACAACAACAACAACAAAACCCACTTTACCTACTGGAATCTGGCAGGCACTCTGGCCTGTTTTTTTATTGTTTTGAGATGAAATTGCAGACAATATATGGTGATCGGGTAAAACCTACATTTTAATTTCATTTCACTATGAAAGACACCTGCTCCTTGGGAGGAAAGCGATGGTGAACCTAAACAGCATGATAAAAAGTAGAGACATCACCCTGCCAACGAAAGTCCGCATGGTCAAAGCAATGGTATTCCCAGTAGTCATGTATGGCTGCGAGAGTTGGACTATAAGGAAGGCTGAGCGCCGAAGAATAGATTCTTTTGAACTATGGTGCTGGAGAAGACTCTTGATAGTCCCTTGGACTGCAAGAAGATCAAATCAGTCAATCCTTAAAGAAATCAACCCTGACTGTTCCCTGGAAGGCCAGATAATGAAACTGAAGCTCAAACACTTTGGCCACCAAATGAGAAGGGAGCCCTCACTGGAGAAGACCCTGATGCTGGGAAAGATTGAAGGTCAAAGAAGACAGGGACGGCAAAGGATGAGATGGTTAGACGGTGTCATAGATGCAACGAACATGAAATTGAGCAAACTTCAGTGGACGGCGGAAGACAGGAAGGCCTGGCATGATCTGGTCCATAGGGTCGCGAAGAGTCGGACTCGACTGTGCGACTGAACAACAACAAACTGCCCTGAGCCCCACGTAAGCGGAGAAGGGTGGTTAAGAAATCGAACGAAATCAATGAATTAAATAAATAAATACAACCAGGGGTCATTTCCTGCGGGAGCACATAGGAGTGGAGCTCCGGCAGTAAGGAGCCCAGGGAGCGGGAACATGCAACAAGCCCCGCCCCCTGCCCCCAGCAGCCCTCACTTGGGCAATGAGGAGCAAGAAGCAGCCAGGTAAGTTGCAGAGCCCAGCCCAGCCCACCCGCCTTCAGGAACAAGCTCTCCCTCCTCCGTGAGGACAGATCTGCACGTCCCCACCCCCAATAGCTAGCAATCCAAAACAGTCCAGTGGCGCCTAAGCGGTGGGTGGTGCCTTCTGACACACTTCCAGTGATGTCAGGGGGTGTGGCATATGCAAATAAGTTATGCTAATGAGTTATGCTAATGAGCTCCTGCACCTCTTTTTCTACGAAATGACCCCTGCAATACAACCAAGACAGTACTATGGAAAGGAAGATCCAGAGCTCTGTGATCCCAGTCACATATCTGGCACCTCACTTCCGCTCGACTCACCGGCACGCATCAGTACTGAAGAGCTCTAAAGGCGTAGAAGGAGTCATGAAGGGAGGCCAGATTTCCCCAGAAGTTCCGTTGATCTGGTTGCATTGGTCGGACCTCCAATAGGACACCTACAGGGACATGAAACCGTAAAGAGGCAGAGAAACCAGCCTGGCTGTTCAACACCTTAAAAACCCACCTCACCCCACTTCCCAGATTCCCCCATGGTCCTCGCATACCTTCCACCCACCCTAGGAGGAATGCCCCAATGTTTTCTCCATGCCACTGCCGCCCTCGTTTCACCTACATGCTTCACCTTTAAGCATGTAAGGTAAAGGTAGAGGTTCCCTTGCTCAAAAGCCAGTCGAATCCGACTCTAGGGTTGAGGTGCTCATCTCCGTTTCCGAAGACGTTTCCGTGGTCATGTGGCCGGCATGACTAAACACCAAGGCGCACGGAACGCTGTTACCTTCCCACCGAAGTGGTCCCTATTTATCTGCTTGCAATTTCTTGCTTTCGAACTGCTAGGTTGGCAGGAGCTGGAACTAGAGACGGGAGCTCACTCCGTCATGCGGCACCCGGGTCTCGAACTGCTGAACTACCGACCTTCCCCAGCCTGCAGTTCAGCGTCTTAACCACTTGAGCCACCGCAGCTCCACATTTAAGCATGCAGCCAAGCACAAACCGCACAAAAGAAGCTCCTCCAAAACTTCAGGTCAGTAGGACAGAACAAGGGAGCAAGGGACTTGCTCTTCTCTGTTTGCCACAGTAAAATAAGAGGTGGGGGAAAATTAGGGCTGTCACCTACATAAGAACATAAGAGAAGCCAATGCTGGGTCAGGCCAGTGGCCCATCCAGTCCAACACTCAGTGTCGTGGTTTTGTGCCAATTTCCCCCGTTTCACTTCTGAGCCAATGGTAATTCAAAAGCATACCGTCTCCCTCGGATCCCCCCCCCACCCTTTTGCTGCCACTTAAAGTTCACTCCCCATCCACATTGAGGTCATGACTCTTTATCAATCAATCAATCAATCATAAGCCTTATTGCATTAGCTCACAGCCTTAGCAATTAACATCAAAAATACCAACAACACCAGAGCTATAATGCAACAACTCCACCCACCACCTCTGATTGAAGAAATCTGCACTCATCAGATGTATGAGCTATTATCACACTGATGCAATGCTACTGTGTGTACCTTGTTGAAACTAGGATCCGGCTATGGGATATTTGCATGATTTACTACACAGACCTAAGGAGAGTTACTCCAGCCTGAGCCCTTTCATTTCAATATGTGAGCCGGAGTCTCAAAAACTGTGAGCTAGCTCACACTAACTCAGCTTAGGGGGAACACTGCTCATCAGACATATGAGCTATTATCACACTGTTGAAACCAGGATCCGGCTATGGGAGAGTTACTCCAGCCTGAGCCCTTTCATTTCAATAAGACTGGAGTAACTCTGCATAGGATTGCAAAGAATTCTAGAAATACGAGACCTTCGCTAGTCTCATGCCGCTTGTAAAAAAAAATTAAATAACTCCAGCCTGGGCTGCCCCCTTCTGGCTGCCCAGTTTCAACCGGGCAGTGGGGGAAGGCAGAGCAGAGCCATGTGTGTGAGGAGCCATCAGCTATCCGCATGCACAGCAATCCCAGCTGGGCCGACCTCTCCCGCCGCCCGGTTTCAACCAGGTGGCAGGAGAAGACAGCGCAGCAGCTGCAGAATAAATTCACTAGAGAAAGAGAATGGTGCGTACTGCAGGCACAGAATCCAAAGTCAAGTTTAATGGCTTGACTGCTCAGATTCTCTGCAGTAAGTTGTGTGTGCATAAGAGGCCCCCTGTGCATTCCTGAATGTCCCATCCATCGACTGTATTACACTCTGTGTAATCCGCCTTGAGTCCAAGTTAGAAAGGCGCAGATTCTCTGCAGTAAGTTGTGTGTGCATAAGAGGCCCCCTGTGCATTCCTGAATGTCCCATCCATCGACTGTATTACACTCTCTGTAAATCCACCTTGAGTCCAAGTTAGAAAGGCAGACTAGAAATAGTAAAGGTAAAGGTAAAGGTTCCCTTGCTCTCTGTAAATCCACCTTGAGTCCAAGTTAGAAAGGCAGACTAGAAATAGTAAAGGTAAAGGTAAAGGTTCCCTTGCTCGAAAGCCAGTCGAATCCGACTCTAGGGTTGTGGTGCTCATCTCCGTTTCAAAGTCGAAGAGCCAGCGCTGTCCGAAGACATTTCCGTGGTCATGTGGCCGGCATGACTAAACAACAAGGCGCACGGAACGCTGTTACCTTCCCACCGAAGCGGTCCCTATTTATCTACTTGCAATTTCTTGCTTTCGAACTGCTAGGTTGGCAGGAGCTGGAACTAGAGACGGGAGCTCACTCCGTCATGCGGCACACCCGGGTCTCGAACTGCTGAACTACTGACCTTCCACAGCCTGCAGTTCAGCGTCTTAACCACTTGAGCCACCGCAGCTAGAAATAACTAGACTAGATAAATAAATAAAAAGACTAGAAATAACGAGAGAGAGAAGGATGTTGAGAGGGGAATGCCTCGCCTAAGGTAAGGAGAGGTAAGGAAACGTCATCACAGAAGAGGCAGAGGTATTCCTTCCTGTTCAGAAGAGAAAGGACAACGGCAACGGTCTTAAGACGACACCTGCTGCCCCATGCATTTATGAGTAGTTGCTTGGAAAATAAAGATACAAAGGCTGATTCAATCAGTGCCGCTTCGTTCATTGGAACAAAATTCAATTGGACAGACCATTTCGGCCCTGCAGAGCCAAATTGAGCCCCAAACAAACCCACCTCGCAAACCTGCAGGGCCCATGCCAGCTGCAGAATTTAAGCCTCTTCCCCAGTGCAGAGTTTGAGCCAATTTGTTGGAGAATCTGACTACCTTCTCTCTCTCTTTTGCAGTGCTGGAGAAGACTCTTGAGAGTCCCTTGGACTGCAAGAAGATCAAATCAGTCAATCCTAAAAGAAATCAACCCTGACTGTTCATTGGAAGGCCAGATAATGAAACTGAAGCTCAAATACTTTGGCCACCAAATGAGAAGGGAGCACTCACTGGAGAAGACCCTGATGCTGGGAAAGATTGAAGGTCAAAGAAGACGGGGAGGGCAAAGGATGAGATGGTTAGACAGTGTCATCTATGCAACGAACATGAAGTTGAGCCAACTTCAGAGGACGGCGGAAGACCAGAAGGCCTGGCATGATCTGGTCCATGGGGTCGCGAAGAGTCGGACTCGACTGTGCGACTGAACAACAACAACAAAAAGAAAGCAGAGAATGTTCAAAAGTTCTCAGCATGTGGAACAGCTTAAAATGAGGTCCCACGTGATGTGAGAACAAGACCCTCGAAAGCAAAGGGAGCCCCAGTAAAACTCAAGAAAGCACCATGTCTCTTCAGCAAGACTCACTGTGAACAAACAGAAAAGGACACCATAAGCTTAACGGTAGCAACACTGTGTGGAAAGGCCCGCATGAGTGCCAACAATAATCATTTCCGTACCTTTTTTAAGCCATTCCAGGTATCCACCATATGGACTTTGGAAATGTCATCAACGCCTGTGTTCACTGTGAACCGCCCGGAATGACTGTTGTTGAACTGGAGAAGGTGAGAAGGGGGGAAAGGGGCTTTTGGTGAGGCATCCTGTGAGAAGGTCAGACCAGAACCAACAGGTTGAAATTAACTAAGAAGAGTTTTCAGCTGAACATCAGGAAGAACGTCCTGATAGTTAGAGCTGTTCCTCAGTGGAAGAGGCTTCCTTGGGAGAGGTGGTGGCCTCTCCTTTTTTGGAGGTTTTCAAACAGAGGCTAGATGGCCATCTGACAGCAATGCGGATTCTCTGAACTTGGGCAGATCATGAGAAATAGGGCAGGAAGGGTTGCCTCAGTGCTTAGTTCTCGTGGCCCTTTTTACACGCCCAGGGAAATGCCGATTGTCACGCTGGGGTCAGGAAGCAATTTTTCTCCAGGCCAATTTGGTCAGGGATCCTGGAGGTTTTTTTTTTTTTGCCATCTTCTGGGCTCGGAGCAGCGGTCACTACAGGTGTGGAGGGGGAGGTATTTGTGAAATCCCTGCCCTTGTGCAGGGGGTTGGACTAGATGACCCTGGAGGTCCCTTCCAACTCTATGATTCTGTGATTCAGCTCCCCACGATTAAAAAGAGAGAGATGAGGAAGCAAGAGCAATTCACACGACGCCCCTCCTGAACAAGAGAGCACTCGGAATGACCCCAAAGAGTGTGGGGGGGTTTTAAGAAGCAGAAGGTGTCCTTTGCAGGCATGGTGCCCGTGAACAGGGTTTCAGGGATGGGACAGAACTTGTTATAGTCCCCAAATAGGGCTGCCAACCTCCAGGTGCCAGCTGGAGGCCTCCCACTATTATAATTGACCTCCGTACAACCAAGATCAGTTCCTCTGGAGAAAATGGCTGCTTCGGAGGTCCCTCCCCTTCACAAAACCCGCCCTCTTCAGGCTCCACCCTCAAAATATTCAGCTATTTCCCTACCCAGAGCCGGCAACTTGACCCCCAAGAGATCCTGCCAGTCCCAATAGGCAGATCCGAATAGGTGGATCGATGGTCTCACACTGCGCGCTGTATGTTCGTTTCGAATGCAGGACTTAATTCGGCTGTTGTTTTAGCCACCAGAGGGGGAAAGGAGTCCTGCTAGCAAAGACCTTTTTATCTGAAAAGATTCATCTTGAACCTTCATGCGCGCCAAGGCATTTGCTCCGCTCCACACGACTGGTTACTGCAATCAGGCATCACCGGGTAGCTGGTAGCAATTGCTTCATTAAGAGGAGGAGGAGGAGGAGGAGGAGGAGGAGGAAGAGGAGGAGATTGGATTTATACCCCGCCCTTCACTTGGAGTCTCAGAGCGGCTTACAAACTCCCTGCCCTTCCCCGCCCCACAACAGACACCCTGTGAGGTGGGTGGGGCTGAGAGAACTCTGCCACAAACTGCTCTTTTTCAAGGACAGCTGTGCCAGAGCTTGTGATGGACCCAAGGTCACATCAGCAGGTGCAAGTGGAGGAGTGGGGAATCAAACCCGGTACTCCCAGATTAGAGTCCGCACACTTAACCACTACACCAAACTGGCTCTCTTGGGCTGGGCTCCCTTCCGCAAACTGGAGCCGACTCTCTCGCTCACTTTTGCGACCCATGCACCACCATGATGCAAGAACCTTCCGTGATTTTTATCTCACCCGTCTCTCCTGGAGGGTTAGCCACTTCTTCCTTTTTTATTCTCACATCTGTGCTGGGCGGAAGATCAGGCTGAAAGAAGCTGGATTAGGGTCACCCAGGGAGCTTCCTGGCTGAGTGGGGATTTGAATACAAGTCTTTCGGGCTGAAGGCTAAAACCCTGCAACCGCACTGGTGCTTGAAACTGAATCCAGAATTAATCTCATCACTCATTCAGGTACATCTAAAAAAAAATGTTTTTTTAAGTTGCTCTTATTCTTGCAGGAAAGGCCATGCGACCACTTTGGACAAGCACCGAGAAATGCTCTTGAACACGCGAACACATGAAGCTGCCTTATACCGAATCAGACCCTCGCTTCATCAAAGTCAGTATTGTCTACTCGGACTGGCAGTGGCTCTCCAAGTTCTCAAGCATGGGTCTTTCACATGGCCTTCTGCCAGATCTTCTAACTGGAGATGCCGGGGATTGAACCTGGGACTTTCTGCATGACAAGCAGATGCTCTACCACTGAGCCACAGCCACTCTTAAAAAAAAAAAAAAACTTATCTAACAAAAGTGCTTGCAGGACAGCATCCCCAGCTTCTGATTTCAGCTGTATGGATCCAACCCTGGTTTTATTTAGAATGCAGATAGGGGGTCCCCCCTGGAATTTTCTGCCAGGCATCAAAAATGCAAAATCCGGGTTACCTGCCTGCATCCCCTGCTCTTCTAAGTTTCTGCCACATTTCTTAGGAAGTTCACCACCCCCTGGCTGCTTCCTCAGCAGTTTTACTCACGTCGACAAGTATGCCGAACTTGTCGCCGAAAGGAAGCAATCCGGGCTTGATGTCGTTCAGGAACTTTACAATGGGATCCTCATATCCCCACAAGACCTCTCCAACCGTCCGGTTCAGGAAGGCCTTCTGCTTGAAGAAAGTGAAAGCGGCGCTAACTGCTATCTTCAAAGGGACTATTAGATCCTCCAGCATCACTGCGGCTCCCTGGGAGAAAAGAAAAGGTGGCATGGGTTACAGCACGTTCCTGGAGGCGACACATTCTTGACGGCCACTGGAAATCCAACCCCCCCACACACTTACTCAAGAATATTACGGGCTCTCACAGACTACCCCCATGGGTAGTTTTCTGTGCTCAGGGGCAGCCCTTTATGGAGGCAGTAAGGACCAAACTAGATGTGAGGGCATCCACAGGAACTGACCTGTGGACTGCGCTGCCATTTTAAAGGAATTTAAAAATGCCGTGAGGCCTCCATCTTCATCAAGCCCGGGGCACCCGTCATACCCTGTTGGGTTTCGCGAGTGTCATCCCTTCAGTCACGAAAGGGTTAAGCTGAAGTTTCTGTAAGCTGACAATAGCAAGTTTAGCACAGAAACAATTAGGTGTTGGGTAGATTCTTCCCGACAGAAAGGGGGAGGTTTTATTCTAATGCGGTGACCCTAAGATTGACAATTGGCTAATCAATATATTCTGGACATACGCAAGGGGTGGAGCTTTATGGGGAAATTTCCACTCCTTTCTTCTTAAGGTCAGTGTGAGAGGGAACAAAAGGAAGCAGATCAGAACTAGAAAGATGAGTTGGACTGTTGTTCTCTTTCCATGTAACCCTTTCCCTAATTCTGTAGTAAACTTTTTCTTAGAAGCTAAACACGCACGTGTCTGTGATACATTATTCCGCTGAGCTTGATTTGCTCTGCTAAATATCCCCCCCCTCCACCTTTTCACGTGCTAAAACAGCCCGTCGGAGGGGCAGCTTTAAAAGAGGCGGTGGGTGGGGAAATGGGAGTGGCTCAGCCTGCCAGTGTCGGCCCAATCAGGATCGGGTCCTCACGGCACTTAAAATCGTGGCAGCGTCCAGAAATCAGAAATGTGTGTGCTGTCACGACTAGTTCGTCCCTAGCTATATGCTCCCCCCCCCCACTGTTAGTTGCAAAAAAATTTAGCTTTTCAGACCTTAGTTGCAGTAAGACAAACCTGGTTACAAATGCACCAGATCTCAGCTTCCTAATTAGCACGGAAGTAGCTTAATCGTTTTGAGGCAGGTCTGGTTTATACGTAACAGAGAATGAGATGATAAAAAAGGAATGCAGCAGAATGGACTGTGGGTGATGGATTCCAATTGCTCCTTCAAAACAGAGAAACTGCATTCTGCCCTTCATCTTGCGTTTATTTTCTTCCCCCGTGCTCATGTGGAATAACTTGCACACAGGCCGAAACGAACTTATCCGTTCTACTAAAGCTCCCCGGAGACATGAGCTCACTCTTACCAGCACCAAGAGGTTCGGTATTACAACACGATCCTTTTCGGTCCCGTTTGACATGTCTGGCTCGAAGTGGAAATACCGGTACTCTAGGAAGGAGACGGTACCATTTTCGTGGAACGTGATGTTTTTTTTCTCCCTGTTTTCCCTGCAAGAGACACCCAACTCTCGTCAGTATCTAATTTATTACCGGCAAGATAGAGAGGAGGACAATGTCGTTTCAGGAAAAGGGACTTCCTGAAGGCAGTGTTTTAAAGTAATATGGAAGTCGAGAGATTTTCGTTGGTCCTAAAACAAAAGGTTAATGGTAATACCTTGGCCCAGCTCCTGCAACATACCCTTCGCAAGAACAAAGACGACACAGGGACATTAGGGGATTTCAGAGCATCAATTGACCAAACGCTAAAAATGCTTCGTTTCTTTCCAGTTCCACATATTGCTGCCACCATCCATTTCAGATTGCCTCATTCCTATTGACCTCCAGTTTGGAAAGAGAGCCAGTTTGGTGTAGTGGTTAAATGCGCAGACTCTAATCTGGGAGAACCGGGTTTGATTCCCCACTCCTCCACTTGCACCTGCTGGATGACCTTGGGCAAGCCATAGTTCCGATAAGAACTGTCCTTGAAAAAGAGCAGTTTCTGTCAGAGCTCTCTCATCCCCACCTACCTCACAGGGTGTCTGTTTTGGGGAGGGGAAGGGTTTGGAGTTCGTAAGCTGCTCTGAGATTCCTTTGGGTAGTGAAGGGTGGGGTATAAATCCAATCTCTTCTTCTTTGACATCATTTATGGACACACCCCATGATGCACTGCAGCAGAACATCAGAAGAGGATGCTTAATGGTAGGGACAGTCCTGCAATGGAACCTGTCTTGGGGGTGTCATGATCTGTGTAGGACTGGGAGACAAGGCCTAGTGAGGCCTAGGCCCAGGAGACCTGTGTGGGAATGGAAGGCAGACACCGCCTACAATCCCCACAATGCTTGGCACCGTTTGTAACCAATCGGTGTCCAGGGATTGTATGAGGAGACTGTTACTAAAAAACCCCCCCCCAATAGTTAGCAATCCAAAACAGTTCAGTGGAGCCTGAGTGGTGGGTGTTGCCTTTTGACACACTTCCGGTGATGTCAGGGGGTGTGGCATATGCAAATAAGTTATGCTAATAAGCTCCTGCACCTCTTTTTCTACGAAATGACCCCTGGATCAGGCCAATGGCCCACCCAGTCCAACACACTGTGTCACTCAATGACCAAAACCCAGATGCCATCAGGAGGCCCTCTAGCGGGTTCAGAACTCCAGAAGTCCTCCCACTGTTGCCCCCCGAGCTCCAAGAATCCATAACAACACTGCCCCAGACAGAGTATTACATCTATACCTTGTGGCTAATAGCTACTGAAGGACCTCTGCTCCATGTGTTTATCCATTTCCCATACCTGCAAGACCGTCTCTCCCTGTATGTGCCCCAAAGAGCCTTGTATTCTTCTGACTAGCAGCCCCTAGTAGTCCCCGGCCTGAAAGATGTCCACCTTGCCTCAACCAGGACCGGGGCCTTTTCGGCCCCAGCCCCATGGAACTTGCTCCCGATTGAGATCAGTGCGCTACGGGATTTGCTGCAATTCTGCAGGGCCTGTAAAATGGTAATTGTTCTGACCTGGCTTTGATTGAGGGAGCAGACGTCAAGTAACATTGGCCTCCCCTGCTACAAGCGGCTCAAGTGCTCCATGGCACTATTTACATTATGGGCGCCAGAAGTGGCCGTCATATCCCATTAGAGTGATTTACCACCTTTTCGAGGCATGAGCTCGGTGTACACTGGAATATAATTTATTACCAAGCTGCCATTAGGTATTCTAAACAAGTTATTTAATTTTAATATTATTGAAATTAATGTTTTATCACATCTAATGATTTCCCAGTAGTCATGTATGGCTGCGAGAGTTGGACTATAAGGAAGGCCGAGCGCCGAAGAATAGATTCTTTTGAACTATGGTGCTGGAGAAGACTCTTGAGAGTCCCTTGGACTGCAAGAAGATCAAATCAGTCAATCCTCGAAGAAATCAACCCTGACTGTTCCATGGAAGGCCAGATAATGAAACTGAATCTCAAATACTTTGGCCACCAAATGAGAAGGGAGCACTCACTGGAGAAGACCCTGATGCTGGGAAAGATTGAAGGTCAAAGAAGACGGGGACGGCAAAGGATGAGATGGTTAGACAGTGTCATCGATGCAACGAACATGAAGTTGAGCAAACTTCAGAGGACGGCGGAAGACCGGAAGGCCTGGCGAGATCTTGTCCATGGGGTCGCGAAGAGTCGGACTCGACTGTGCGACTGAACAACAATGATTTGCGGAGTTGTTGTCTTGGTTTTTATGACATGTTGGAAGCTGCCCTAAACCCGCTTGCGGGGCAGGGTAGGATTTAAAAAATGATAATAATACTAATCCAAATTAATTAATTCTGCTATTTGTAAAGCCTCATCAGACACTTTGGCCACCCAATGAGAAGGGAGCACTCCCTGGAAAAGACCCTGATGCTGGGAAAGACTGAAGGTCAAAGAAGATGGGGACGGCAAAGGATGAGATGGTTAGACAGTGTCACAGATGCAACCAACATGAAATTGAGCCAACTTCAGAGGACGGTGGAAGACAGGAAGGCCTGGCGTGATCTGGTCCACGGAGTCGCGAAGAGTCGGACTCGACTGTGCGACTGAACAACAACAAATTAATTAATTAATTAATTAAAATCGTAGACACTCGTGTGAGCAGGGCAGGGTCCGTTTTCACCACCAGCATGTTGCCAGAACTGGTTCAGGAGAGGAAATTACATAGCAGCAAGATGTCCAGAAGCAATCAAAAGAAGACAGCTGAACTAAAAGTACCTTCATTATCGTGGTTGTGGATCTAAAGGGAGGTAGAAAGAAGAGGGAGGGGAAAAGACTGAGAATACAATGCCCAGAAATTCTAGGGCTGAGCACTGTTCCTTCAGCCGAGAAGCATTTCAGGTTATTTATAATCTGCCTAAATAGGTTTATGAGATTATGTTGGCATACTGGCGAAGTCATAATCCACCACGGATGTTAGGCAGGTTAGTCTGGCCTCTCTTCCTATCCCAATACACCCAAACCACGTCTAGGTGTTCTACGCAGACACATTTGCAATCTTTTTGTTGCAACCAGAGCAGCATAGTGCTTAGCCTTAGATTGCCTGACTTGGACTGGACAGATCTGGGTTTACTTATCTGCTTCAATAATAGCCTGCCTTTCTCAAAGCGAATGACAAAACATAAACACACCACGCAAACAATTATAGCATATGACATCCAATAAGCCATGTGACACGACTGCGAGGATTACAAAATGAGAAGACAACACTGACAAAGCAAACCACGGAGAAATAAGATCCAGGTGGGGTCGCCGTGTCGGTCTGAAGCAGGACGGGAAAAGCCTGAGTCCACTGGCACCTTTAAGACCAACCAAGTTGTATTCGAGGTATACGCTTCTGTGTGCATGTATCTGAAGAAGTGTGCATGCCCACGAAAGCTTACACCCTTGAATAAAGCTCTGTTGGTCTTAAAGGTGCCAGTGGACTCAGACTTTGTAACGGAGAAATAAGGATGACCAAAGTCGAAGACGAGGCAGCGCAAGCAAGATAATGCAAGCCATGGGCAGTGCAAGATAAAAAGGTAACGGTAAAGGTTCCCTTGCTCGAAAGCCAGTCGAGTCCGACTCTAGGGTTGCGGTGCTCATCTCCGTTTCCAAGCCGAAGAGCCAGCGCTGTCCGAAGACGTTTCCGTGGTCATGTGGCCGGCATGACTAAACACCAAGGTGCACGGAACGCTGTTACCTTCCCACCAAAGTGGTCCCTATTTATCTACTTGCAATGTCTTGCTTTCGATCTGCTAGGTTGGCAGGAGCTGGAACTAGAGACGGGAGCTCACTCCGTCATGCGGTTAGTTAGAAGGTCTCGAACTGCTGAACTACCGACCTTCCACAGCCTGCAGTTCAGCGTCTTAACGACTTGAGCCACCGCAGCAGTGCAAGATGCTACCACCCTATTCCCCTTAGGGGGGCATTCCACCCTACCACCCTATTCCCCTTAGGGGGGCATTCCATTCTGTGCAGGTGTAAATTGCTGCGATCTCCCATCCAAATAGTAAGCAAGGCTGACCCTGCTTAGCTTTGGAGATCTGTTGAGGTTGGGCTGGCCTGGGCCATCCAGGCCAGGGAATTCCACCCCATTCTCCCCTAGCCCTGTTTCCTTTACAGAAATGCCTTCCGGGTCATTTCTGTCTTGCACATTGTGTGGAACGATAGAAGCCTGGGAGCATCCCCGACCTTCTCTCCAGCAGGCCATTCCACCAGGTGGGGGGCCCACAGCGGAGAAGTCAGATGACCCGGTGGGTACTGTCACTGTCCCCTGAATGCCATACAACCAGGCTCTGACGTCACCACAATGGCGAGGAGATTAGTCATAACAAACTGCTGTTTTGTGTAATGATTTCAGGTAAATGGTTGTGTTCCTTTAAATGTGTTGTTGAATTTTGCAGAGTTAGAGAGTTTACAGTTAAGAGTGTAAGAATGTTTTGTTGAATATAGCTGATTAATAGAATTTGGCAGTAGTTTGAATTTAGTTGACTGACTGCTGAAGACTTCAGTTACAGGAGATTACTGTTGGCTGTAGGCGAGAGCCTTTTTTTGCATTTTAATGGCCCATCTTCCCTCTCTTTGTCTCTGTTCTGACTGAGAAAAGGGGTGGTGGGAGAAGCCATTCTCCCATTTCAGAGAAGCCATTCGGCCATGTGGATGTAGAGGTTTTGTCTGCTAAGAATCCCAACAGTTTCTGTCCTTCAGATCTGGATTAAATATGCCTTTTTGCCGCAGCAAGAATTGTTTTTGCAAAAAAAATGGAAGGAGGATAGTATTCCCTCTAAAGATGAGATTATCAGTAAACTGTACGATATAGCAGAAATTGAAAGATTAACCTATATTATTGAAGAAAAGAGTATAGAGAAATTTCGATAAGTATTGGTTTAGGTTTTATAATTGGTTGAAAGTGTCAAATGCTGGTTTAAGTTAATGAAACAGGCATAACTTTTGAGAGCGATAGAGCTTTATTTAAAATTGTATGAAGATATCTGCAAATTCTCTTCTGTAAAACGATGAAAATCAATAAATATAATTTTGGGGGGGAAAGTTATAAAATACAATTAGCAACACAGAGCACTAGAAGGAGGGACCATACCATCATTGGGGGCATGCCAGAGAAAACCAAAAGGTCTTCACCTGCTGGTGAAAGACACTGACAGAAGGAGACAGAAACATCTTCCTGGGGAAAAGGGTTCCAAAGTTTTGGTCCCACAACAGAGAGCGCTCCTTCTCAGGTCACTACCCGTCTAGCCTCAGATGGCAACGGCAACCAAACCGGGCCTTTGAGATAGACCAAGATGGGCAGCCGACCGTGTCCGTCTCTCTGGAGCAGCGGAAAAGAGCAAGAGCCCAGGTGGCACCTTAAAGACGAACAGGATTTGTGGCAGGGGATGAGCTTTCGTGAGACACGCAGTGACTCACGAAAGCTCGTACCCTGCCACAGATTTTGTTAAGTCTTCAAGGTGCGACTGGACTCAGGACCTGTGATAGACCGGAGTGAGTGGGCAAGTTTGTATGGGAGAAGATGTTCCTTAATGTTCATTGGCCACAGGCTGCACAGGGCTTTAAAGGTCAAGACCGGCAGAGCAGATGCTGCAGGTATACGGGTCTGGATTGAATCTGGTACCTGGTCAGTATATAAGAACATAAGAGAAGCCAAGGTTGGAGCAGGCCAATGGCGCATCCAGTCCAACACTCTGTCACACAGTGGCCAAAAATACCAGGTGCCTTCAGGGGGTCCAGCAGTGGGGCCAGGACACTAGAAGCCCTCCCACTGTTGCCCCCACTCAAGCACCAAGAATACAGAGCATCCCTTGCCCCAGACTGAGAGTTCCCATGTATACCTTGTGGCTAATAGCCACCGATGGACCTCTGCTCCATATGCTTATCCAATTCCCTCTTATAAGAACATAAGAGAAGCCAAGGTTGGATCAGGCCAGTGGCCCACAACACTCTGTCACACAGTGGCCAAAAATACCAGATGCCATCAGGGGGTCCACCAGTGGGGCCAGGACACTAGAAGCCCTCCCACTGTTGCCCTGCCCCCCAAGCACCAGGAATACAGAGCATCCCTTGCCCCAGCCTGAGAGTTCTTATCCACACCTTGTGGCTAATAGCCACTGGTGGACCTCTGCTCCATAGGTTTATCTAATTCCCTCTTGAATTAGTGATGTAGTGATGGCAGAAGATGTGTAATACGCATACCCTGCTTAGCTCCCAAAAAGTACTGAGTTGTGACGTTCTGTGCCCAATCCCCACTCAGCTGTAACGCTCCCAGGGTGACCTTCGGCGAGACATTTCCACTCATCTTAGCCTACCTTACTGGGCTGTTCTGAGGGTGAGAGGTAGGGGGAAAATTGTCTATGCAGCACCAAGTTTCTCAGACGAAGGGAGGGATAAGAACATATTATAGGGATTTCTTCTTTCTCCTGTGGACGAAGCTTAGTGCTATTGGGCCTCAGAACTTTGGGAGACTGGTTTCTATAGTGATTCCCCACTCCTCCACTTGCACCTGCTGATGTGACCTTGGGTCAGTCACAAGCTCTGGCACAGCTGTCCTTGAAAAAGAGCAGTTTGTGTCAGAGTTCTCTCAGCCCCACCCACCTCACAGGGTGTTTGTTGTGGGGAGGGGAAGGGAAAGGAGTTTGTAAGCCGCTCTGAGACTCCAAGTGAAGGGCGGGGTATAAATCCAATCTCGTCTCGTCGTCGTCGTCGTCTATTTCTACAGCCAACATTGCCCCAGGCAAACTGAGGCAGGTCACTGTGGTCTTAAAAAGGAGGCCTACATTACCCACCCGTCCAATGCCCTAGGTCCAGGGTGGGCAACATCTACATGCATGAACCTGTAGAAAAGAGAGCTAATTCGGGGGAAGGGCTATGGCTCACTGGTAGAACATCTGCTTGACCTGCAGAAGGTCCCAAATTCAATCTCTGGCAGTCTGCAAATAAAAGGATCCAACGGCAGGTGATGTGAAAGACCTCGGACTGAGACCCCTGGAAAGCAGCTGCCAGTCTGGGCAGACAAGTCATGACGGACCAATGGCAGGGCCGGCCCCAGGTATTTTTGCACGCTGGGCAAAGACACCTTCTGGTGCCCGCCCCCCCGTGCACCCACCAATTTATAGTGCCCCTGTAACGATTCCTTGTTTATATGTGGGTGTGTCTTTAAAAGTTTGGATGCATAGCTGTATGAAAGTCTAGTGTGGTTGAAACAGGCAAGTGGTGTGATTGGTGAGTGACAGAGAGGGGGAGGGGTTTTGGAAGTGATGCTGTGTGGATGATATTTATGTCTGTCAAGAGTGACAGTTAGTGAGATGACTGTGGAGAAAGACAGTTTTAAGTTAAGTTAAGTTCTGTCTCTGAGGGAAGGAGACTTATCCCTGTGAAGCAGTCTTGTGTGATATAAGAGTTCTGAGTTAAATATTTGTGTGTGAAAGGAGAGACATTCAGTTCTGTGTTATAGGAGTTACAAGTGAAAGCTGAGAGTCTAGGAAAAAGTACAGTGAAAAGTGTTACAAAGTTGCTTGAAACCTCCCTGTCAGTAAAGGAGAAGCTTGTGAGAGACACCAAGCATTTGTTCAAATCATTCCCAGTACCGTTTACATTGTTTACCCTCGTATTTATGCTTTCTTTAAATAAATCCTATTTCCTTCAAGTATACCAACTCAGTAAAGAATCCTTCCTCAGACCACATAGTACCACGAACGCCTAAAACCCTCGATATACCTACCCAGTGATAGAAATATATATTATAGTAAAAGGTTTGGAAAGCCTTATAAATTTCCTGGTGGCAGCCGGATATACAGAGTAAAACAAACCAGAAAGAACATTTTTAAAGTAAAACCAGACCTCCCCAGTTAAGGGGTCGTCACAGCCCCCCCTTCAGGCACCCTCACAGCCACCCGGGACCATCCCTCCCTCTCTCCCAGCAGCCCCTCCCTCCCACCACCAACCCCCCTGGCGAAGTTCACACTGCTCCCGGGGGAGCAGGAGCCCTACCACCACCCATCGAGCCGGCTTCCTCCAGCTACACAGAGATGCTGGCCACCCTCCTCGCATTCATGGTCGCCGCCGGCCGGGAGAAGCCCCGAGCGAGAGGAGGAACCAACGAGGGCCAGCTGCCGCCTGCCTGCCCACCCGCAGCACCTCCCCCGCCAAAAAACCCGAGGTCGCAACACACCAGCCCAGCGAGAGCGCACGCACCCTGTCACCACCGCCTCCTCCTCCCATCTCTCCCTGCCATGAGTCGAGGGATGCCGGCTGCGGCGAAGGGACAGAGCCAGCGCTGTGGGGCGCATGCCGCAAAGAGAGGCTCAGAACCCAGGCCCGGATGGGGCTGCAGCTGCAAAGAAGGGAAGCTGCCTGAACCCACCACCAGTCCTGCTCACCAGAAGCATGGCACTTGCTCCCCCAGGGCCCTTGTGCAGGGCTGGCGCCCAGAAAGCCATGCTGACTCTTCCCCCCCCCAACTCCGAGCGCTCCGAAAGTGAAAGCAAAACTGGAGCACAAGGAGTTTTGGAATGAAGACGGCCAGGGGCCCGGGTGGAGAAAGAGGCGGTGGTGGCTGGGGTCAGGGGGAGATGCAGGGCTTTTGGCGGGGGGCTTTTGGCGGAGGGGCGGGTGCAGTATGGCGCCCAGATGATCAGCCCACTCTAGGCGAACATCTAGTTCGCCTAGTGAGTGGGCCGGCCCTGACCAATGGTCTGATTCTTGTATGTTCATGTATGCAACAAATACACAGATGACATCCAAGATGAACCAGTGACCTGATCCAGTATCAAGCAGATTCATAAACTCAGTCAATACTACTGGGCCAGCATCACCCCTAAGACAGCCTGTTTGCCACTATGACCTCCCCCAGAAAATGGGCATCTACAACAGAGTCATGTGTGTGTTCTCCATCACATCTTCAACCAATACAGGGCCGGGGCTCCTGACCTTGTTGCGCCTATGGGCGCTACTGGAATTCTGAGAGAAGGCAGTGGCCCCACCACCAAATAGCTGCTAATTGGGACTGGGGTCAAGTCACAAAACGGTGACAAGTTCCAAGCCAAGTATCCACCTAACGTGGGGACAGCTACTTCCAAAGGGGCATTTCCTACAGTCACGAAGGTGGTGACGCCTCTTCGGAGGGGGGGGGGTGTCTTCTGAAGCTCTTTTTCCTTCAATGAGAACCTATGCACACCACGGTGAGGTTCACGAGGTTATGACGTTCAGCTGAGCTCTGGCTCAACTCTTGCACATGTCTATAGAGCGTGGGCGGAGATAACCTTCAGGAAGATTATGACACTTGCATTTGCTCTTTTCTTAAAAAAAAACACAACCAGAACTGAAAGCCCACATGAGATATTTTTTTAAAGAACCCCTTCATATACGAGGCCAGCCTGATCTTGTTAGATCGTGGAAGTTAACCATGGTCAGTCCCGGTTAGTCCTTGGATGGGAGACCACCAAGAAAGTCCAAGGTTGCTATGCAGAGGCAGGCAAGGGGAAACCACCTCTGAAGGTCTCTTGCCATGAGTCAACTGCGACGACAGCAAAAAAAAAAACCCACATGCCAAAAAACAATGGAGAAGATGAGCGCACACCTGTAGACATAAGGTCCACGTTGTTGTACTGCCGGCTTTGATCCAGCAAGAACTTCATTCGGATTCAGCACCTCAAAGAAGTAGACCGAGAAGTAGAAAGGAAAGGGGATATCTTTCCACAGGTTGTAAAATGATGTGTTGGGCTGTATCCTGACATTCTGTAAAGAGAAAAAACACACCAAAAAAACCCACTGTGAACAAAGACTTACTACAAATTCATATGTCATTAGATTTATATGAACTTCCTAGAACCTTATACTAGAATGAAAACTTCCACAGCGCGCTTTAAACATGTACAACACCATGTCAGAGAACTAAACACATCAATTACAAAGCTAAATCCAAATCATAAAGGTTACTCAACCCAACAGCTAAGTCTTCTGGGGGAAAACAGTGACTGGCTCAACTCAACAGGTAAACCTAAGAATTCTATGTTTTACAAATAACAATTATAGCACCTTACATATTTATTCTGTCAGGACGGGTCGCCATAATCAGGGACTGGCCTTGGTTAGTTATACCAACCTTCACGTGAACCACAGTCCAAAGGCACAGCTGGGTACATAAGTTGGCACTTGAGAACCCAGCCAGGAGAGCCCAGTAGGTAGAACAGAGCCACAAATAGCCACTCCCTAGGGCAAGCAAAAATCAATTCCAGGCAACCAGACAAGAAAGGAAGTTGTTCCTCCCACACCACCACCTCCAGCTGGTCAACAGATCATTGACATCATTATGTCAGGACAGGCTAGCAGGAAGTGTAGGGTCATATGTTCAAAGACCATGTGACACTGAGAGTTCTGCATTTTGCGCAGGGAAGGGCTGTGGCTCGGTGGCAGAGCTTCTGCCTGGCATGCAGAAAGTCCCATCCCCAGCGTCTCCAATTAAAGGACCCGGCGGTAGGCAGTGTGAAAGGCCTCTGTCTGAGACCCTGGAGAATCACAGCCAATCTGAGCAGACAATGCTGACTTTGAAGGACCTAACTCAGTGTAGGGCAGCTTGATATGTGTTATCAGTTATTATCAAAAGGCAAAGATCCTCTCCACTGTTTAACATCGCATCTACTCACAGCAGCCTCACTCACCATCGCAGCCGCCTGGAAGTCACCCAAAATACCAACAATAGAGGAATGGAGAAACAAAATATGGGAATTTTTCCAATATGGACAAGATAACCAATGTATTAGACAACCCTCGAGCATCTCCTTGCACAACACACCCCAGATTCGTAGGTACCTGGTTCTCATACCTACAATTCATGTCAGAAAAAGATCTCCTGCCACAGAATCCAAGCTATGCATCTTGGCTCCACCTGTAACTCAGCAACACCCCAAAATTATTGACAACACAGCACATTAACTGACCTCGATTATACATGCCAGTATATGGTAAAGGTAAAGGTTCCCTTGCTCGAAAGCCAGTCGAATCCGACTCTAGGGTTGCGGTGCTCATCTCCGTTTCGAAGCCGAAGAGCCAACGCTGTCCGAAGACGTCAAAAAGGGAACACAAAAAGTGGTCATGTGGCCGGCATGACTAAACACCAAGGCGCACGGAACGCTGTTACCTTCCCACCGAAGTGGTGCCTATTTATCTACTTCCAATTTCTTGCTTTCGAACTGCTAGATTGGCAGGAGCTGGAACTAGAGACGGGAGCTCACTCCATCATGCGGCAACTCGGGTCTCGAACTGCTGAACTACCGACCTTCCACAGCCTGCAGTTCAGCGTCTTAACCACTTGAGCCACCACAGCTTCTCAGTATATGGTAAAGGTAAAGGTTCCCTTGCTCGAAAGCCAGTCGAATCCGACTCTAGGGTTACGGTGCTCATCTCAGTTTCAAAGCCGAAGAGCCAGCGCTGTCCGAAGACATTTCCGTGGTCATGTGGCCGGCATGACTAAACACCGAGGCACACATAACGCTGTTACCTTCCCACCAAAGTGGTACCTATTTATCTACTTGCAATTTCTT